CGCGAACGCGTCAAACGCGTTCACCGCGTTCAAAAACTGAATGCGAAACCCGCGTTCAATGAACGCGCAGTAACATAGCCGACACACACTCTCTCTCTCTCTCTCGTTCACCAGCGCCACGTCATCCTTCAGCCAACGATGCCCTCGCCGGTATCTGATTGCCAGGTCAGCAACAAAGTGCCACGTAAGCAATGTCGCCGGCTTCTCTTCAAGAGGTCCACGTCATCATCTTCAAGGGGGTGTGCGTGCCAGCGTGGCAATCAATGTCTAGTCCGCGATGATAATCGTGCGCGTTAATAAACGTGTTTCTTCCCGATCATGCCCAGCACCTCCCACTTACCTGGGCGCCACGTGGCGCCTGACAGCAGATCGCAACGAAGAAGGTAAGCTCCTATACCAAATTAATGAACCCAGTCTGGAAGATACTCGTCAAGTGTCGAAGAACAAGGTAACTCAACGCTGAATAATGTCTCCAATAATTGTGAATGTGATCTCTGATACAATGTCTCGTAATCATGGACGAAGAGAGGAGAGGGGGAATAGACAGATGAGAGGGTGGAAAAGAAACCCAACAATTCTCTCTCCTTCTTCGGGATTCCCCCTCACCGCCATGTCAGCAATCAGTGTCCAATAACGGGCCTGACAGGTCCTGACCACGTCAGTGTGCCAAGTGGCAGAGTTCTCCCATGGAGACGTTCAGCAGCGCACAGGATCGACATCAACAACAGGTAAGTATCCTCTCTCTCACAATCCACAGATCCCGATCTCCCTCCTTGTCACGTCCAACTCAGCAATGAAGACAGTGTGGCTAATGCCAAATCAGCGACGAAGACAGAGTGGCATGTGCCACATCAGCAATGTCAAAGACAGTGTGGCTTGTGCCATGTCAGCAGAGGCTGGCGCCGAAACGAGAAGGCGCCAGCATGCAAGCTGCAGTGTCGCGTCGCCGTCCACAGTGCCAGCTAGCAGCTAGCGTCAAACCAGCGTCAAGTCAGCATAGCAAGGCTGAATGTTGACTCCCTGGAGGCCGGGCCTTATGTAGTGTTTGACGAGGCTGACCGGCCTCAGGTCTCCCACCCACGGGGACTCAGATTGACTTGCAGCCGAGGGCCTGGATCGCATACAGTTGCAGACTTCCACTTGGTCCGAATGCTGTCTTGGTACCTGCATACAAACAAGTGTGTGTGTCTGACCCGTGGCCTGGGCTGGGTCCATGCAGACTTTGACTCTTGGGCCGCTGGGCAGTTGACCGAAGTCAACTGTCAGGCGCACAGGCCCTGAGGCCAATTCGGGGGTTTTTCTCCCCTTGGTCTTTGAGGCCTCAGACCGGGGTCGCGGTCTGCGTGTGAGCGGGGTATTGCAGAGGGGTCAATATCTAGAAAAAGCAGTGTTGGGCCGGCAACCGGCCGGTTGGACCGGCCCGGATCGACCCAGGTCGTCCAACCGGAATTCCGGTTGGACTCAAAACCAGTCCAATTTTTTTTATTTTATTTTATTTTGGTAGCAGGGTTCGACTGCTCTTGCAGAGAACAGTCAGAATCCGCACAGAAAACCGTGAACTCGAAACTTTTTTCTGGTGGTAGTGGTTGGGGGGGGGGGGGGGGGGGGG